TCGATGAGTTTAAGCTGTTGCTCGAGCAGGACCTTTACTTTCACAGGATCCATTACGGGTAGAACGAAACACCTCATCACCAAATGATATGTATCGGAATCGGGTACGATCAACGGATATACGCGACCTGAGAACAAGCGCACAACTCCCCAGCTATGACGCGAGCCCAACCACTCCTAGCGCAGACAGAGAAGACCAGACCTCCAGAAAAGGGCTTTTACTGCCTCAACCAAAGGGGAATTACAGTGGGAGCAACGTCGTATATATATATATATTTCGAGCGACCTTAGGGAGCGAAAAGTCAGTTAATGCACACAAAATATAGCTGGCCAATAGGAAAAGAGCGCGGTGTTTACGGATTGAGGTGCAACATGGCGGAAAAGGCGCGAAATTTAAAAATTCAAAAATTTTTGAAAACAAACTGGCAATAACTCGGAAAATAAGCAGTTTTGGGATACCGACATCCCCAGCAGGAGGAGTTCGTAAAATTGAGGACGTTTGTACATACCTGCATGACGTAGTGCAGGAACTGGAAGATCTCCTACGTCTGGGAGTTGTCGTTAATGACCTGCATCATCAGGTCGTGTTGGATGCAATTAGTTGTGACAAACGGGCGCGCTCCTTCGTCACACGAATGAGAGCAAACAATTCCTACTATGGTTGTGATAATTGCTGCATAAAGGGACACCCCTCCCACCGAAGATAACGTTTCCATATGGGCAGGATGTTCTGCAGACTGACAACAGTATATGTCGGGATACTCGGATCAGCCAGTCTCTATTCTTTACGTTACCCACTGATTTCGTTCGCTGCTTTCCCATAGATTATATGCTCGCCGTATATCTCGGTGTTGTCCGTAGATTAGTTTCCATTTTCGTCAAAGGTGATCGACCCGTACGCATCGGGCCTGCTGGCTTGAACAGGGTAGATCGCATGATTCGAAATTTATGTGCCCGTGTGCCCGTGGAATTCCTGCCCAAGTGCCGGGAAATTACACTGTACAAACAGTGGAAAGCGACTGAGTTTCGTCAGCTGCTGTTTTACATTGATCCCATTGTGTTTAAGGTCAATATTCCCCACGAAAGTTATCACAATTCTATAGATCTATTTATATCCGTGTATGTTCTTTTTCATCGTCGCTTTTCTGTTTCCCGCCTTGATTATGCACGACAATTATTGCTAGTATTTGTTAACAAGTTCCAAAAACTGTATGGCTTGCAGGAGATGGTGTACAATGTCAAT